GTGTTGCTTTAATTTATCTGTGAAGGAGGAGTAATCCTTTCTTTTTCTCAAAATTTCTTTTAAAAAAGTCACCTTTTTGCCTGCGATACTCAGTCCATCATTATAGTGTTTTTTCAAAATTTATTCTCTTGTAACGTTCCGTACAAAATGAATCAATATGTCTCTTGTGTCAGGCCTAGCCCAAGGAACTCCAAGAGACCATGCACATTCAGTCCAGCTATGTTTATTAGCTACACCCTCTAGCAAAAATCTCCCCAGACTAAAACCACAGTCCCCAAAGTCCTCCAGCCACAACAATGTGAATTCCTCAGGGAGGTGCCAGTCTCATCCTTTTGTTCCTCCCATGCGGTTCCAGTGAGCTAAGAAAATGCTTATCTCCCTGAGCTTGGCCTTCATAATTCCATTCCATCACATCAACCTTGCCTAGATGCTAGAAATAAAAATAGCTAAATTGGCACAACTAAGGGCCATTTACCTCTGACACAGCAAGGGAACCAACTAGAAGAAATCATATACTTGAGGATTCATGGAAGCATTTAATGATTCTCATATCTTTGCCTATCAGGGATGGCACAGGTGTGACGTCATAAGCAAGGCGTTCCATCTGGTATTGATTTGATGTTATACTACCACTTACTGAGATAAGACAATGAATAGCAAGATAATAATAAAAAACCCTTAGAAGTTACAAAGCAAGTGGACCTTCTGAGAAGTGGTACTAAGAGTTGTGCAGATGACATTAAAGGGCCCTATCGTTTCTCTGCAATCAACACAAGGTCTAAATGCATCCAGGGTTGAAAAAAACGGAACTGCATTATGCAAAAAGAACATTTTTAAACTGAAAGGAGAAGGTAGAGTGGATGAAGGTGGAATAGGAGAACAAAATAAAACTAGATTCAAGTGGATTAGAAGAAAAAATGATGAATGTGAGAAAAGAAGTTCATGAATGGCAAATACCATTGATTATTTGAAGTTCTCTACAGATTTCATTTGTTTTGTTCTGAAAATTTGGTTAGTGCAGGGAGACAATTTTCATCAAGACTAAAAATTATTTAAGCATTAGTTTTGCATCCAACCATTCCATCTCAATGATCAAATGGGGCTTGAGGAGTCCACCTAAATAAGTAAGGTGGTATCTCTGATGGTTAATTGTCTGAAAATAGGCAATGGTTAGTTAAGTCATGTGTTCTAGTATGACCACATAGTAAATCTATCTAACATCACATGACTGAAGAGCAGTAGCAAAGTAAGTTAATATTAGCTTTCCTCAAGAAATCCATGAAGGCTATACTATATAGTGATTGGAATGTTAAAGCAAGTCCTACTTTATGTTTTCATATTTGGCTTGTCCTGGCCCTTACTATCTTGGACTCTATAATGTGGTAAGATATACAGTATCTGTCTCTGCTTAAAATATAAAGACCTTGTAACTTGGTCCAGACACCTGTATTTGCACTGAAGACCTTTTAATACAATTCACTTTCAGACCTTGTCACACAACACACAGACATTGAGATGAAAAGTTGGAACACAAGCATGTTATCTTTTGCACAATTTTTTCTTCATGTATCAGTTTAAAAACCCTAAAGAGAGCAATAGAGCCACATATTTATGTATCAAGCATGTCTAACCTTTTCTTTTGATAATGAGAAAGTCCCCTAGAAAGCCATTAAACTAAAAGCCTCTCCTTCCACTGAGTACTGGGAATGTAGGATTACAATAGGAGAACTAGCAGCCATATCCTTGCAGCAATGTAAGACCTAGACCTAGAATAGATTCAAGACAATGGGTGAGTTTTGATATGCTTGACTCCTTTTAATACAGTGTAAATCTATAATGTAGTCTCTATTTTTCAGTATGATGTAAATCCAAAAAATGCTAAATTTTTGTTCCAGAGATTTCCTGCATTCATATCCCATTACCTATAAACTAAGGCCATTTCATATGAAAATTTTATTAGACCTTCTATGGAAAACAAAGAAGCTGAGAGCTTAAGCAAGGCTATATTGTCATCACCATGTGTACAGTATCTCTAGCTAACTGAATTAATCGGGTTTTTTTCCCTTGTGTAACTGATCTTGGTTATTCTATATGTTGATTATGTATGTAATTTATGTAATGATTATGGGAAAGGATATTGCAAATACAGTTAAAGGCTTGAAGAATGAATATATATCTATATCTATATCTATCTCCAACTCATACACTCGGTTGGTACAATTAATCACCCATGTAATGAATGATTACAGATATGAATGTATTTGTTTAAAGCAGTTAGTCTAAAGTACAACAACTGTTACATACCATATGTTCAAAACTGTAAGTAGAAGAGAAAAGAATGGTGAGGAATTATGAATTGTGAACTGATAGAGAAAATCAAAGGACAAACTAGAATCAAAGGATGTTCAATGAGTTTGGGCCAGTGGACATGTTTCAGAATTTGAAATGCTGATATTAAGGAATTATCTCTCTCTCTTCCCTTCTGTCTTTGCTGTTTCTGATGGGTTCTCAGTATGTCCTGGAATTAACTAGATGTTGTCTGGGCTTCTTAACTTTTTATATAGCAGTGAGTCAATTACAGCCAAATTGAGCTATCTTCTTTAATACCAGCAGCCTAAGACCCTCTGCCAGCTTTAGGCTGTGATCCTATACCAACTATCCTTTATCAACCTTCTTGAGTGGACTTATTTCTGATTTACCCCTCTATAGTGTGTACCTGGTAGTGATACAATCAGTCTTAAATTCAGGATAATCTAAAACACAGAAGCTTAACTTTACCATAGCAACATCTAAAGCAACTTATAACTAAGTCCCAGTTCTCATCTAGGTGATGAATATTGGCTATCAGATTTAGATGATCTTCAATTAAGTAGCCTCCATGTGATTTATCGGAGGCATTCCTGGACACATGATACCCACGTCAATGTCTCTAGGCTAGTGGGGTGGGGGGAGAAGCAAAGTGCATAACCTCTTTGCTTCAGCTTTCAGTTCCTTCCATTCTTTTGCTGTATGGTTATCACTCTGCAATGCCACAGGATTTGTGACACATAAAAAACTGCATCAAAATAATCTTGATCTCCCTGTACTTATGACTTGATAAATATTTTTGCACATATGTTGGGCTTTTCTAGTGCACATTTATATTTGTTTTATTAAAAAAAAAACATAGCCCAAAGGCAATTTTGATGTGATCAAATGCTAGTTTATCAAAACGTTGAGTACTGCTTTAGCAGTGGGTAGAGGAAACTCTCTGCGTCATTAAAGCAGTATAGCAACAATTGTAATACATCTATGTATACTGTGTGTATGTGTGTGTGTGTGTGGGGGGGGTTGTGCTGTCATTTCTTTCAATCTGATTATAAACTCTACTTTCATTTCTGATGGCTCTTTATCTTTAAACCATATTATGGCCTAAAAAAGATGATTTATCGGAAAGTAAGACATATTTTCACCACTACCCACTTGGATATTAGTTTTAGACATTTTCCCATTAAGCAGAATTATGGACCAAATGAAAACAGACTGAGCAAATCCACAGAACAATGCAGGAAAATCACTCATCCTTGGGAGGTAGGATTCTAGCCTTTTCCTATCAATGCTAGCTTTTCTAGCATCGTGATGCACATAAAAAATGGGAAGAACTTTGATCACATTGTTGTAGCTGTCATCTTGACTTTTTTTCTTTTACCATACCCTGCAGACATCCCTGATGGTCTCTCAGTCTACTTAGTTGATTACTTCAATGAGAATAAGTTATCAGTTGACTTCAGGCAAATACAGGCCAATTGTATACCCTTTAACATGTAGGTATATCTATGGAATTAGTTGCAAGGATGACTCAAAAGTTTTATAAAAATATAAAGTAAAGAGATCTACCAAGCTAGGATAAACAGTCAATGCATTATGTAGGCCAAATATGGACAGCCATTAGGAGTTTATTTACTGTGACATTTCTACTGTTCCATAAGCACTCAAAAGTATTCATTTTAATCAGGCGCTGATCAATTTCCAATATAAGAGAATATATGTAGCTCACAGCTGAACTGCTCACCTTCTTGGCTACTTCAGCAAAAAAAGGATTATTCAGGAAAAGGGAAGGGACATTATTTTACCATAGTCAATGCTCTGGTGAATGTAACTGTGACCACATACCTGTGTTTCCACATCTGTGAGCTTTCTTGTCTGTTCTGCTGTCTGACTGAGAAGGCTGGTTCCTATTTCCAGCATGGTGGCCGTGTGGTTCTGGACAGCGTTCTGCTGCAGCTGGGTCATTTCTGACTTCATATTTTCCACAATGTAGTTCTCCAGCTACAGAACAAGAAAACAAAAACAAAAACAAAGGCCACAGAAAGTATTTTATTTATATTGATAGGGAAAAAAACTAGGCAGCTTTCCTTTCTGAAAAGCCTTTCAAGTCAGTGTTACAAGAAAATGGGAATACATATGCAAAATAAAAACAGCAAAGATTAGAACAAACATTGCAGTGCAAAAGAAAGCACAGAAGGAAAGGAAATCAATAACCAGGCTAGCATTGTTGGGCTTCCTTCACTTTCCCCTCTCTCAATTTCTTTCCTGTGTCCAGCTGCAAGCCTTTGTTCTCTTCACCCTGATGGAGTATTAGACTTCTAGACTAGGCCTGGCAGGACAACATGGACCTCAGTTCAGTTCTCTGTCCTCTGAATGAAGACCCATGTCTGACTAGTTATATACTTACTTACTTTAGGTCAAACATTATTCAAATTCTGCATGACTAGAGAAAGTTTAGGATGCTGAATAATGAGTGAATTAAGGCTAGGTAGCCCTTGCAGATACTGGTCCAAATTTTTATTGCTTTTAAGAACAAAGACATGGCAAACGTCTGTGCTAGCCTCTTTCTCAATGACCTACCTAACTCTTTGACATCATATCTTACCGTGTCGACCTGCTTCTATTGGTGTTTGGTTTTTAATGTACGTTGATGTAAATTTAGCTCTTATACAGGGGCCACTTGTACACTGCGTTGATCTTAGCACACACTCCATGGGCAAATTCAGCTTTCAGTGCAAAATAAGCTGGACACTTTTGTATATTCCATTTTATTCATAAAATATGCCTAGTAGATTTTTTATGCTCTTTTATAAAGAATAATTTAGATAGATAGACTTAATCATGAACTTAAAATAAAACTTGGTGCTCCTCATGAAGGAACGTAAGAGACGAAGGCAGATGAGTGCACACTATTCATTTGTTTGTAGAAAGGGCAGCGTGAGTTGCCTTCATTGATGTCATTAATTCACTTTGTGGTGGAAGTTGCAACTACAGAAGTCAATATCATGTATAAGTGTTGCAAAATTATTTAAATATTTTCTACCTTAGCTAAATTATATCCATGCACACACAATTCCCATCAGATGTTCAGGGTTTCAGCTATAGAACAAGATCATCTATTTTAACTGTAAGGCATAAAATGAGAGCCAGTTTGGTGTAGTGGTTAAGGCACCAGGCTAGAAGCCAGGAGATTGTGAGTTCTAGTCCCGCCTGAGGCATGAAGCTAGCTGGGTGACCTTGGGACAGTCACTCTCTCTCAGCCCTAGGAAGGAGGCAATGGCAAACCACTTCTGAAATCTTGCTAAGAGAATTGCAGAGATTTGTCCAGGCAGTCACCAGAGTCAAAACTGACTTGGAGGCACCAAAAAAAAAAAAAAAGGCATAAAATGGCCAGAGACTATATAACTTCTCCAGTGAATAATAAGCAAGTGCTGCCAACTAGATGCCATGATCACTGGAGTGTTTGCAGATGAAGGAGTTGTTTTTGCTATTTTGATCATATTTCTCCGTAGTTGCCAGTCAAGGGTGAAACTACACAGGATGTGATTCACTAGGAATTGAAGCAACAAAATGCATGATTTTGGTTTTAATCTCACTAGGGCTTCCTGCCCATATCAGCTTGGTTTTTAAAATCTTTAGTATCAAATGTTATAATTTACAATGAAGAATGAACTATTTCAGCAGCAGTAAGAATACGATAAGAGCCGGATGTGCCTTGATTTAGGGACTGCAGGAGAAAGCAAAAAAGCAACATTGGATTTATACCGACGGTTTATTTTATCTTTTATCTACCTACTTCTGAAGATGCCAGAAGTTACATACTTACGAATTACTGTGTCTGAGGTCAAAAAAGATTTGTAGGTAATCAGATGGCTCATGTACAAACACACAAATCTTCAGCCAAAGAGGATGGAGGTGTTCCTCTAAGACAAATATGTTTTGAATATAGATGATGAAAAACTGATTTTTTAGCCCAGCAGAAGGCTGAAAGGAGGAACTGAAGAAACTGAGATCATCGTCTCATAAATCTCACAAGATTTGCAAAATGGGGTTGACCAATGACCTCATGCTAATACTTAGCAATCAAAAAGCTCCTTCATACCCCATGGCCCAAACACTTGGTTTACTGGATAAGCAGAAAAACAAATGTGCTAAAATGAAACACATGTTTTCCTGTCTATTCTGATGCTCAATGCTGTACAAATTTTCTTTGAATTTCATAAGACTCCGTATTGAGAGTTCATGAATTTACTCAAATTAGTCCTATATAGAAATGCTAAGATGAGTTAAGAAAGGTTCCTGGAAGAAAATTTAAGTCTTCCCAAGGTCTTAATTTGACCCCCTTCCACAAAAAAAGCAACACAGGACAGGATACTGTGTTGAGAGTCCCTCATTGCAGGTAGATGGGCGGGGGACAAATTAAATACATACATACATACATACATACATACATACATACATACATACTGTTCCTAAGGCAGAGGTAGGGTTTTGCAAGGGCAAACTTTTGGGATATTTGGAAGTTGAGAGCATGGTGGCGGGAATTACAAATTGTATGTGAGAGTTGCCATTTCACAAAATAGCCACCCAGCAGACATAGCCAATCATAAACACCCATTTGCCAGGATACTTTCATCCACCCTAATGGGAACTTAAGGAATTCTTCCATACACACACATAATGTTAACTTTGGACAACACCAAACTTTATTTCTGTCCAGAAAGAGAAATAAAATCTGCCTCATATCTGTTGATCCCATCAGCATCTGTAGTGGTATGTGTAACAGTACATCGTAAATAAATCCTCCTTTAAAATCAGAGCTCTCCCCTAAATTAATCTCTGAGTGAGTAACTAAACAACATGCTCAGAACAAGACAGACATTAAACAAATGGAAACTTATTTAAATCTTATTTTGATTTAAGATTCACTGATAATTGAATTTCATCCTTTTAGAACTGATTAAGGATGTGCTTGAATGAAGTAAACTTATTCCATTCACTGAGGTACATATTTTTTATTTTATTTTAAACACTGTATACCACTCTTATGAAGTTATACACTTTTGTCTAGGCTGAATCAATCCTCCTAATAACTGGTAACTAACAGGAGGAGAAGGAGAAGGAGAAGGAGAAGGAGAAGGAGAAGGAGAAGGAGAAGGAGAAGGAGAAGGAGAAGGAGAAGGAGAAGGAGAAGGAGAAGGAGTGAGTGGTAGACTGCTTAAACCTGTTTTTAAGCTTGGAATTTCCAATGGATGGGTTTGAATATTAAGCTTGTCAATTCTGCAGGGAAAAAAATAATTTCTTGCTGTTTCTTTCATTAAGCAACTCACTCTCCGATCTGACTTTTGAAATAGTACTACTATTATTATTAACATTACAACGTTAGCAGTACACTGGCTGGTTTTGACCCTACAGTAGAATTCAGTGACATCTGCTTTTTGTAATCATTCTTGATTTCGAATCTTGTGTTTTCCACAATGTGGTATTACTCAGCAGCCCTGAAATAAAGCCCCAGCATTCTCAGAAATAAAACTGTCACAGAGTTCAATATTATTATTTAATAAACATTCTAGAAGATTGCACATTAGAAGTAATTGACTAATGCTTTCAGTGTTTACTGAAAAATCTTTATAGAAGCCACCCAAATACTCACGAATAAAAATGCAGACAGAAACATGAGACATGTGTGCATGTTGCTGGGTCTTGGCATGTGGCTATAAATAAATTAAGAGTTGCTGTCTCTCAGAATGATCCGTTTCCTTTCTTGGGAAAAAAATATTATAATCTCAAGGTAAGATGAGCTCTCAAAATGGCTTCATCATCCCAGGATGCAAGAGGTGTAAAGTAAGGAAGTGCTATTACAGGGGACAATCCTAAAATTGTACCACGTTTTTTAAAATCTTTCACGTTCAGCAAAGGGCCTTTAAGAATAGAGAGCAAGAGCTAGGTACCCTTGTGGTGTGCTAGGACTGAATCTCTGAGCTCAGTCCAGACGGCCACAGAATAAGGCTTGGTGGGGTCCAAATGAGCATCTGGATAAGGGCAACAGCAAGAAGTGTTACATCTCTTCTTGATAAACTACTTCTTTTCTTACTTTTTAAATTTCAATACTTTGTAAATATGATCCCTTCTCTATTACAAAATGGGGCTTATTTCCAAAGCATTAAGGTAGCTACAGTTATGTCTGAAGACTTAGTGCTATTCACCAAGGATGGATGGATGGAGAGAGAGAGAGAGAAAGAGATGCTGTTGAAACAGCATCCCCCTCCCAGTTCATTAAATCCATGAAAGGGTTGGGGAGGCTGGGGCCCGAGGGGTGCATGTAGATCCAAGGTTCCTTTTTCTTACTCAGAACATCCTCCATTTCCTTTGACTTTAATGTGGGTAACAGAGAAAAACTGTAGTGTAAGTCTTAATTTGGGGATATCATAATTGCAGGCAAAGTATTATCTACCATATCCAGCCAGATTCACATGTATTGCTCTACCCATTTTGCAGTTTCCCCATCCCCCAATATTAAGTGCTGCTCTTGTCCACCCAAAGTTGTCCTTCCCTGGCCTAAAATATCCCATAATATGATTGTACAAAGTGCATTAAGGGGCTCTTCATAAAGCCCGTTGGTGCAAAATGCCCCTTTCTAAAGTGCTGTTATGGTAAGTGGGAATGATCTTGGGAGACAGGAGGGAGAGCCACAGACTGGACACTGGCATATAAAAGATCTCTCAGCCCACAGAAGGAGGGAGGGCATGGGGAATGTTTCAGAAGGGACCCTTCCTAATTTTCTGGACAGTAAAAGGAAAGAAGGGGAGAAATACTTTCAGTCTTGCAAGATTCTGTTAATGTAACCTTACAATAAAGATAGAGCTAGTAGTCCTGGTTGTGCTTCTTGTCTGGACTACCTAGCAGGGCTGACAATCTTCTAGAAGATTCAGCACAGCTGCTTCATAGACTTCTTCAAGTCATGTGTGTAGGGTGGGTGGGTGGGAGCAAATACAATGTTT